GGCGCAGGTCCTACAAGACATTGCCCACGTCTCTCCAGCATCCCAAATCCCCGACAGCACCCAGAATGTTACCACAGGTTTACGTCCCAGCACCTGAACTGCAGTCTTTTTAAACTGCGAAAGTCCGGCGGTACGTGGGATGAGAACAGTAAAGCCACGGGAGCTTGTATGAGCGTTCCATCACTGGGATGATTTTGCTGTTGGTTAGAAGTGGAGGAGATTTCTCAAGAACATAAGGAAGTAAGGGTAAATATGGACACAGTAAAACCATGTGCTACTTCAGAGGTATAGGTAAAGCGGTGCTGACAGTTGTAAAAGGGGGGGAAAAAAAAGGCCTTGCGATATAAGCGTTGGGCTGAGATTCTGGAGGCTGGAGACCTGATGGCCATGTCTGCCACAGACTTTCCTCTGTGCTGGAGCATGTCCCTGACCTCTTGGGAGCCGTCTGCCTAGCGCTTGTCATTTTGTCTCTTCTGGTGGAATAAAGGGCTTATTAGCTGGGTCTCAGCAGCAGGCTAATGCAGTCACGCCGGCTCCGGAGGAGCGCGGCCGCGCGCTCTGCCAAGTCACAGGGTGGGCAGAGGCAACCGGCATCTGCCCGGGGACGGCCGCGGGGACAGACCCATGGCAGCTGGCGGGACGGTGGCGACGCCGGGAAACGGCTCCGTCTCCAGCGTGAAATAAATCCCCGGCCCCGAAAGGTCACCCCGCACAAGCGGACACTCGGGGGTGACCTTCCGTCAGGCGGTGCCTCGTGTCAGGCCCGGCGAACAATGAGCAGAAATGGCACAACTGTGCCGGCGCGCTTGCCAGGATTTCCTGCCCACCAGCAGTCGCAGTGCACTTAACCGTACGCTAATAAACCTGCCTTTTACCACTTTCTCCTAAACGCTGGCACAAATCACCCCGATGCATCCATTTTTAGCAAAACAAATTAATTAGTTGCACATGATCTTTTTCTATTTAATCTCTCGCAGAAAACGGGAAAAATTATTTATGAGAAGCGCGTTACGTCCAAATTTAATTCGATTTCGTTGGTATGCTGTTAGTATAAATAGTGCTGTGCTACAGTAAAAAATAATATTTGCAGTAAGAGTTATTAAAGCAGCTAAGCTCCATGGAAAAAAAAAAAAAAAAAGGATGAAATTCCTAGCACACGGGCCTAGGAAAGGCTCATTCCTTTTGCCCAGAAAAGCTGACCCCATCAGTTGATCTGATAAAAGTACTTCTTCCTGCTTCGTCCCTCTTTGATATCCTTCGACTACTGTGGAAACAACATTATTGCAAATTACTATTATTACAAAATTATGCAATTTATACTTTTTCCTTTCGTAACATTTCAGAACCCATTCAGTATACTTGTTTAAGTGGTGAATGCCATTTAGAAGGGGATAAATACTGATTTACATTTCTAAGTGTCTTTTACCATAGAGAAGACACTGTCAATGTGAAAATCTGTAGGGAGTGGGAGATGGCTCGGAGGATGGAGAGAATAATCGTGTCGCATTTAAGCCCTTATGATCTGTTTCCACAGAAAAAGGTTAGAGATCAACAAATTCTCAGTTTAGTTCAGTAATAAACGAAGGTTGGCTAGGGCATTAAGTTTCTGGGGGGAAGCATTAGCCGGTATGTACAGCAGCAGCCTCTGGTGGTCTAAGAAAAAATGGTAGTATGTATAAGTAAGGATAGAAATATGTTTTTTAGGAGGATGTATGTACATATTTAGCTATTTGACTCAGTCCTCCATTCAACACATTAAAAAACAGATGCTTTTAAAACGATCTGCTGGCAATATGCTTGTTAAAATCTGAACAGTAAGAGTATTAAAATTCATATGCATTCATTAGCATGTTATATAAAAGTAAAATGCTTTTGTTTAATCATTCCATAAAGTATTATAGTCAATGCTGATTATCAAGAAGTTTTCCCCTTGGTTTGCATTGACAAAAAAGAAACCAAATTTATAAGATTGTTACTGAATTGATGACATTTTCTGTCTTCACTCGCAAATTCAGTTGGCAGATGTTTTCAAGAACAAAAAATTCTGTCTTATTACAAAACATATTAAGCAGGTTTTCCTGCCATAACGTTTGACATGATGTTTATTGCCCAGACCAAATCAGTCCCTTTAACAAGCTATAATGTACGCCAGAAAGTACATTATTTCATAGTTAAGGAAACTTCCAGCATGAAACAATAAGTACTTTGATCTTTCAACCACTATGCTTAATGCACTACACACTCCCATAGACATTTTTATTTGTACTCATTTTGTGAAAAAAATACAGTACAATTTGAGATTTTGTATTTTAAGACTCTGCTTTTACATATTCTTGAGTGTCCCAGCTATTAGGTTTTTTTTTTTTCCCTATAAAAATAAATAAAATACTTAAAGAAATTTAATCATGGAAGAGTTCCATTTTTCCAGTTCCTGGAAAATCTAACTGCACAAGTGGGAGCATCATCCAGACAGCTTTAATTAGTTCAAATGGCATTTCCTCATCGGATCACAACAGATCTCAATGACCCTACAAGAACATAACCGGGGATATTTATTCCTACTACTTAACAGTCTGAAGCAATTCCTCCAGCGTATTTGACACAAACAAATTTTCACTCAGCGTTGGGTGCAGCTGATGCCTTCTTGTGAGGGTATTTTTCATCTCATCTCTCTGTACTGCTTTGCCCTGCTTGGCAAAGATGACGACGTAAGGCTTACTCAGGTTTTTCAAAATTCTTTGACGAGGTCGTTATGAAGCATGCACCACCCTTAAATATTTCTGCGGAGTGACAATATGTTTTAGTTCAAGACTCCAATGAGTCAAACGTCATACTATGCAGTGAGTAAAGGTCACGTCTAAGTCGCCCTTTGAGATTACCCCACACCAGCTCCAAGGAGGTGCCCCGCAGAACCTGTGGTTGCCCTAAGCCGGGTGGAAAGTCCCAGGCTGCAAACGAACGGTGGTTCCTCCAGCACATGTCATCCCACAGACCCAAGTGTTGGAGGCAATTTTATTTCTACATGTTGCCAATAAGGCGTCACACTGTTTTGTTCGCACTGTGCGATGGGTGGACAGACCGACCACCGTGACTGTGGCCGGGAAGGTGGAGCAGAGCTCGCTATGTTCACGGCTCCTCTTGCCATCACCTATGGCGTTAACAGTTCTGCCCAACAGGGTAAATGGCACTCTGTCGGCAGTCCAGGTTTGTTTCGGAAACCACACAGGCAAGTAAATTGCAGCAATTTGTCCCGTCACACACCAAAGTGCGGAAGTTTTTCATTCCATTTCAAAAAACTCTCTGTATGAGAACCTTGTGAAGAAAACAACCCTAAGAACTCTTTCAGAATAAAACACCAACCACATCAGAAAACTCGATTTCACTCAATTTGCCCAGGAAAGGAGACCACCACCCACGCTTTCACTAAAACTTATGCTACTTCTCTCCACGGTTTGAAGGAAATCAAATAAAGCCAACGTCAACAGTCATATGTGAAGCACAGAGCTGCCCAACGAAGAAAATGGGATGGAGTCATGCTTGTTATGTTTTGGGGGTCAACCCTCCCCAAGCCAAATTTCATGCCTCACCAAGCCAAAGAGCCACAAGAAGTTGGAACTGCTAAAAAGGTTATCAAAAAAAGGTTCACTTTCGGCAAGGGGATGCTGGACCTCCTTTCTGGACAATACAGCAACTTGGTCCACCTTGAGACAAGCCTGGTGGCCCCTCTGAAGAAGCAGGGTCTGGCTGGCGGGCAGAATGGCAACCCTCACGAAAAGCAGCGATAGAAAAAACAGGGCCCTGTTGGGGACTTTGAATATGTATATGCATCCTTTTGTTTCCCATAGTCAGTAGCAAGAGGTATTTCTCAAAACACACAGCAATATTTATGGTGTTAGTGACAATCTCGCATCCAGGTTACAAACTCTTTTAACTAGCCAGTACAGCTGTACTTCTACACACAATGTTATGCTAAACCACAATTAATAGGAACAGATTAAAATTTAAGATGATTCTAACATGCCTTTCACTGGATTTTTCTGTTTCACACCAGAAAGGCATACACATTTGTACTGTTTTAACCATACTGTGGCGTTTTTGACATGTTTTACTGTTGAATGAAAGTGCTAACTTTCAAAATAAGGGCTTTGGAAATTGCATGACTCAGTCTCGAATGTATAATGCATAGTATGTATATGAAGCAGAATGTGTCAAAGTGCAAATAATATTGTTTGTGCCCCCTGCAGAATTAGAAATCCTCGGGTAGCACTGTTATAACGATCCCATGCTGGTAGCATTACAAAGTGCAAAGGTTCACTGAGTAAGAAAAGAGCAAAGGACAGAGTTTCCTCATTACACCATTCTCGAACTATTCTAGCTTAAATATTTATTAAGATATTAATAACTCTCCTCCTTTATCTGCCGTCTGAAGTTCAGCTGAAACACAATGGATGGCTGCTCATATGAAAACAATACATTATAGGGTAAATCTGCTACCACACAAGATGAACACCGGTATTTTCCACAATACATTATTAATTCAGTAGGTAATATGTTAAAAACCTATCAGGCTATAACTACTGCCTCCCCAATATAAGACAACATAGTACAATAAATGTGTGCACGACGTGCGAAGCTAATATTTTGCCTAAGCTGCACTAGAAAGTGTTTCTTCTGTACACCTCTGTTTATAAAATCATTTTTACAAAGTCTTCCTTAAATCATTCTCTTTCTTGATAGCACCAGTGAGTTCCTCTGGGGTTTATTTGAAGTTCCCCTTTGAAATTAGAAAGGAATGTTTTGCAACTCTTCCAAAACTCCACATTCGATAAGTGACAAAAAATACCCCTAGAATAAAGAGCCAGGAACTCTGTATGAACTCTTGAATGCCATCTCAGGAAGGTGTTTGTTTTTAAAAAAGCACGCTGTTTACTAGCCACTATGGACAGTAAAAATATCTATACGGCATTAAAGAAGGGCAAACAAAACCAAAAGAAACTTACTCTAATATACATCTGCATAGTTTCTTTTTCTTTTTGTGGATTTCGATACTTTTCGTAGAAGTCACGTCGCTTCTTTGTTTCTTTCTGGATTTTGTCTTTTCTTTCCCTCTTTTCTGCAGGTTCATCTGAGCTATCAGAAGACAGCTGTACTTGGGCTTTTGTCTTCTCCACTTCAATATAGTTCTCATTGGGATTCAGTACTATTACTCCATAGCCTTCCTGTTTTAGAGGAGACACACACACACACACACAAAAAGAAATAATATGAAAAGGGAGATTTAATGCTTGAAAATGCTTTGCATTTATTTAATGCTCTTAAAAACTTTTATATTTATTTCAGTAGGTTCGCACAACATAACTTCTAAAAGGGTATTTTAAGCGTACTCTGTTTCTTTTCTGTCATTAAAGGGATATTGATGTGTGAATATGTGTCTGTGCGTGCATTTGTGCTCAGACACATCCCCCAGCATCAGAAAAGTTGCCTGTTTTACCTTTAAAATAATCTAATACGCTGTTTTATTCATAAGCACTTTATACAACTTTTTCAGAAAACAGTGTGAGAACTAAAGGAAAATATTATTTTGAGAACTCTACGCAATGATGAATAAAAAGCTTTACACCCAGCCAATAAAAACCTTTAAACGGATGGAAGGATTCCATATATATAAATACATATATATTAAAGAAAGCACGTGAAAGTTATTCACCACAGTTTAAAATAGTAAATCCTTTTGTCTGGCTGACAACGAGCATACCATGCAGAAGCCAATAGCGGCTGTAACAACGAATCGATACCAAAACGGATTCAGTGGTACTGCTTACAAGTCAACTCTTTTACTGTGGGGATGACTTTTAACTATATCTTTAAATCTGCTCTAAAACTTCACTGGGATTATGTCCCGTATTCAACAAACCCAGAGAAAATTCGTGACCTGCAGGATGCTTTTGAGCATACCAGCTGCATTTTTGTGCCTGAGAAAATGAGCTGGTTGAAAAATACATGAATTTATGAATGAGGAATAAATCTTGAATAAATCAGCCAATCATTTTATTATGATTTTTAAATGACGGCAAATCACGCAAGAATTGTAATATTCGTGGAAGACACAATCGCGACCGCAGGGAGAACAGAGAAGCACGTGCATTTAACAGATGAGCCCTTAAAGTTACCATGGGTTCCCAGTCAAAACCAAGCCGCCCTTTAAGAGTAAATTTTAATAAAGACTGACTTTTTTGGAAACGTCTATATTAATTATCTCGCTGAACAGCTTTATTCCAGCTTTTCACTGGGTGCTTGGTTCTGGGCTCGGCAGGAGGATCAAAGAGGTCCCCGTACCTAGCTGGCCAGAGCAAACCGAGCCCGCACCAACAAAAGATACTTTATTTGGGCTCGCTTCATTCTAATCTGTAGGGCCATTCACAAACCTTGTAGCGCATTGTGGCCACTGTCAGGTAGACAGATTGTCACTCGGTGATTTTCTACAGTTGGACACACTCGACTAGTTATCAAAATCGCATCTGAAGGCAGTCCCTACCCCTCGTCCTTGTGCCCTGCTCAGGCGTCTGCCGCAGCTTCTCCTCCCACCGAAAACCAAGTTAAAGGGCACGGTTGCACTCTGCTAAACAGGGTGAAATAGAGGCATTCAGGACACTGTCTCTGGCGTAAGGGACGTAGTCAAAAAAGGTCACCACAGGCCAAAGAGAACATCGCCTCCGGGCTGGACGCGGCGCCCTGAGTGAGTGCTCTGCTGTCACCCCGCTCCCCTGCCCGCCCCGCTGAGCGACCCCAACGGGGGCAAACGCACACAAACAGGTGAAAAAAAATTAAATAAGTGCATAAACAAAGAGGGAAGGGGCAAAGGAAAGGGCAAAATTAGAGAGGAAAAAAGTTTAAAACCCACCCCGGCCACCGCTGGCCGCGCTTGACCCACGGTGCGATCAAAGACACTGAATTTCCAAGGTGGGAAACACAAAGCCCAAAACCCCTCCCAGGGGAGAACGCCCCTCTCAAACTTTACTAAAGTACGTGCCGCAGGTGAAAGGATGGTTTCCGAGCTCGGGAAGTGCAGAGCCGGACCAAGTTTTGGCAGTGGGCTGGTGGTTTTGGGGCTGTTGGCCGTCCCGAGCCGCTCCTCCGGAGCAGAGACATTCTGCGGCCGATTTGCTTCGCTCTCTGCGCGTCACCGGACACGAAATTCACGTGTTTATTACAGGTCTGCCAGTCTTACAGGGGTTTGGAACTCTGCGTCCACTTTAAGCTGACCACAAAACAGACACATAAATCATCAAAGAAGTAGAATTTGTCTAAGTTATTGATTATGTAACTGAAAATTACATGACTCATTTGTCCAATTTTACGAGGACACAATGTCAATTTTTCACATAGACATCAACAGATGAAATATGATTCCATTTTTAAATTCACTGCTTCACAGATCAATTAAAGGATTTTTATCAATTATATTTTAAGGGTTGTAACATTTTTTTTCAAACAACTTTTCCCCTTAATTTCTCCCAGATAGCAGGCCTTTCCTATCCATACAATTAAAATAATTAAGTAATAACTGAGGTGGGTTCTCTCCATAATTGAGAAAAAAAATAATCTTGCAATTCATAAGACTTTCTCTTAGGAAGGTAATCTCTTTTCAGACTGTTTTGCTTACATGACGTAGTGTATTTCCCCTCCCCTTGTCTTTCTGCACCCTAAATTGCAAGAGGTAAACAACCGCACCAGGAAGAAGATTTGAGAGTAAAGTGTATAAAGCAACACGGAAAAACAAAAGGACTGGTAAAATTGTACCCCCTCTCATTCAGCCTTAGCCCAAGCGTTTTCTACTAAACGTGAATACTCAGCTCTAAATAACATCTATGTAAACAATGTGGTTTTTAAGGTCAAATAATTCTTAGAAAATGTATTTCACAGGAGCAGAGCTGCACCATTAAACTTCAGTGCAGTCAGAAAACTAACCTGGAACTCCCCACTGATGCAGTGGGGTTGAGCAGAGTGCAAGTCAATGCAAAACTGGGCACACAAAAATACTAACATCTAAAAAAAATGCTGTTAGCAAACCTTAACAACAGCCAAGATACGCAGCCTTTGGCACGACTGTTTCGCAAAGACAAAATCACATTCACTAAAAAGTGTCCTTTCAGATGAAAGTCGTGTTCAGAAGTGTGTACCTCACAATGCCATTAAAAATATCAATTTCAGCTGCGACGACCTTACAGCGTTATTAAAACACAGTGACCTATGATGTAAGCAAGTCCCATCATCCAGGGAAGTTTTTAAGGCTTGCCACCAGCAGTAAAACATTAGGTGTGTTTTCAACACGCGTAATAGGTAAAGTGCAAAGTTTTTTCATGGCAAAAAGCTAAACTTTGGTACAACAACCCCCCCTCCCGCCCTCCATCAATCATTAGCTGACAGAAAGAAGCCAAGCCCTGCGCTCTGCCACATGTCTGAGAGAATACAGATGTTGCACAGAAGCCAAGGTCTGCCCGCGTCCCCCGTCAGTGTATCTGCCATGAGACGCAATAATCAGGAGACGCTCAGCCGCTAATCCACAAATTCCGCGGATACAATCACAGTTCCTCTCTCGGACTAAAGCGCCCAATTAACAGCCATTTCCCCAAATGTCAGCCCTTCAAGGTTGGTAAAACATAACCTACACCAACTACTGGCATCCTCCAGGTAGGTACTTCTGGAGGCAGAAGACTGTGGGTGAACGCCACTTTCAGGTTCATAAATAAAACACAATTAATACTCATGAGTGAGGCAGCACATGACGACGAAAGGGAAAGCAGGCTGACAAAGTCAAGTGTTGGAAAGGGTCAGGAATCTCGGTCACAATACCTTCACTACAAAGCCAGAACAACGCAGAAGGGCCTTTTCCACTGTAAGACGTGAGCCAGAAATGGAGCAGTACTTTCCACCTCTTACTGGAGGTTCAAGTGAGATGTTCGAAACAGAGGGAATACCAAAACTACTGCCTCTGACAGCAAGAGTAAGGTTAAAAAAAAAAAAAAAGAACCCCAGAGTATTTGAGGTAAATTCCAAATCTTTTGAAATCTCTTCTGCCTGGCCACATGAATAATGAGCTGAAAGCATTCAGCTCTGCATATTAATCCACCAAGATGGGACACCATATGTGACCAGAGGGGTCAGGGCTGGAGAGAAATCTGTTGACCTATGTAACTACCTCTTTGGACTGCGAGCCAGGGTCTGAAAGAGATCATTTTCCTGAGCTTTATCAACGTGAATTTTCAAGTTCAGGTTTCTATTTAGACTGTTGGCAACCAGACCGGAGTCAATTCCCGGGGGAAACACAACCCGAAGCGCTCCGGCCCTCAAACCTGCCCGTGGTTCACACGGACACAGCCACGTCCATTCATCTTTCTGAAAGATGTATGTTCTGTTCATTTCCCATCTTTTCCACGGGAAGGGTCCATCTATGTCACTGTTGCGACGTTGTAGGTGCAACAGCGGGATGAGGTCATGACAACCAATCAGAAGTCACTAGTGAAGCGTTAAAGTAAACATAGCTGTTGGAGATGCAGCTCAGCTTGAAAAATGCCCCCTCCATTATTTGAGCAATTTTCTCAAGACGTGACCTGAGACTGAAACGCCCGAAATGTCAGTTGACTCCGCTTGCTGTTTCCACCCCATGTACATTTTGGCAACTGCACCCTGCGAATACTTTGCGATATTTCCATCCCGGCTACACCTCGGCTCCCTGAATTCCAGCGCCGTGTCCAAGTGTGCAAAAATGCCGCGCTACTGCCAAACGCACATTGTCCCACTAAGTTCCCAACTTAAAATAGCTCATCAAGTTAGGCAGGAAAAGAAAACATGCCACAAAAAGTTTTTAGAGGACCACCTGTTGTCTATTATTTTTACATAGCACTTACTCATAAATCATAACACAGGGTAATTAATCAAGCTGTCAAAGAGAAGGTCAAAGGTTACGTGGGGGAGTCAGAAGGTCATGCATGGGCTGATAGAGGTCAGGGTCACACCGCATTCCTCATTATCAAGTTGGGATGAGAGACGGCCCAAGCAAACAAAAGTGAAAGCAGATGGAGAAGTGAGTGGATAAAAAAAAGGAGAAAATTTCACAAACAAAAAGAAAAGTGAAAGAAGAATGTCAGTTGCCTTCAAACAAGGAGGAGAATAGAGCAGAAATACATTGAGATGTTCTCAAAAGGTCTCACACAATACA